CTCATTGCATTGGGAAACAGAAATGATAATTATTTTATGGGAAGTAATAATGCCCTAATTGTGTCTCCCTAAACTGACCTCCTCTCTTTTTATCTCTTGTCTGCAGGTATGAGATCATGCAGTCCTGCTGGCTACCTCCGTCTCAACGCCCTTCTGTAGCTGAGATATTCCTCCTCCTCTCCTCCCTCCTGGCCGCTGAGCGAGGAATGGCGAGGGGGAGTGTCGGGGAAGAAGACGAGGAGGACGAGGAGTATGAGGAGGGCAGAGGAAGGAGAGGGGAGAGCGAGGAGTCATTTGAAAGACGCTGGGACTTACTCCGTCCACCTGCCTTCCAGACTGCAGTAAACGAGCGGCAAAGGGAGAGAGAGTACGTCAGGGAAGACAGAGACAACTCCTACCCCCTGCTGGACCCGGTGGGGAACTGTATCACCCCGTCTTCGTCTGAACTGGATGACATCCTGACTGTCACTGAAACTAGCAAAGGCTTGAACTTTGAGTATTTCTGGGAGAAGGCTCATGCCAGACGAGGCTACAAACCTCTTCCTCCTCCTCAGCCAATCCCGACTGTGAATAATAACCACAGGCAGTCTTTGGACACTCCCACTGTGGTCCCGGTTATAAGCGCTCGCAGCCCCTCCCTCGCCAGCGAGTACTACATCAGGTTAGAGGAGCACACTCCCCAGGACAAGTCACCAACTCTCAAAGGAAAGCCACAGTCTTCTTTCCGTTCTGACTCGATTTGCCCTGGAGACATGGAGCTGGTGGAGATTCGCAGTGGGATGCTCGGAAAAGAGCGAGTCCCTTATTGTTCCTCTGACAAGTGCAGCAAGGGCCTCCAGACCGTCAGATCCAGCGAGGTTCAGCTCAAGGTTCCTAACACAGGTGTGGCAGAGTTCAGAGACACTTCGAGCAGAGTGACTGACTTCTCTGTAGTCGATTTAGGGGATGACGATGAGGAGGAGAAGAAGAAGAGCAGTGAGGCAGATAAAAAATCATCAACAAGTTCTCAAGCCCCAGTCCTCCCTCCCAAACCTCGCTCTATGTCCATGTCATCAGCCAACCACCTCCACTCGCGCCCCCTCCCTGCCCCTCCGCTCGGATATAGAGGACTGCCTCACTACACCATCAGTGGAAAAATCGAAACAGACCCCCATCACATGAGCAGCTGCCCACCTTCTACCTTTGATCACTTGGGGCTGCATCGCTCCCGACAGACTCTACCCCCATCCCCGTCCCTCTCCCCCTCCCTTCCCCCATCGAGCCATCCAATTTACCCCCAGCCTCCTCAAATGTGTCCTCCACCTCTTCCTCCGCACTCCAAACCACAAAGAAGCTGCCCCAGCTACAACACAGCTGACACTTACTCAAGATACAGCAAGCCGCAGATGCAGAAATCCAACAGAGACCCACTATCCTGTGACCTGTCTGATAGAGAGAGTGTCACCAGACATGCAGCACCATTGCACAACTCCAAGGAGACTTCTCATTCACGTGCAAAAAACTTTGACTCCCCTGTTCGTCGAGAAAACCCCTTGCGCCCGATTTATCGCAATCTACCCCGCTCTCAGCCCACAAACCCCCAGGTTGAACGTCAGTCTTCGTCCAGCCCCACCTACTCAGACGAGGACGACTCTCCCTTCATGTCTCCTGAGAGACCAAGCGGTGGGACTACTGTGACACACTCCAGCCTGTCTGAAGATGCAGACCCATCTTCCACAGAGCTCTTCTTCAGAGGAATGAAAAGGACTCAGTCACGCCTCGATACCATCCTGCCTGCCATTTGGAAGGAAGATGCTGAACTTCAGGCAGAACGTGTGGCCGCAGCAAAAAAATCCCCCATGCATTTGTTTCTGACAGAGATATCTACTGTGACAGAGTCCAGTGAGTCCAAGACGGAGGTCTCATGGGAGGGAGAGAAGGAGGAGAAAAGAGATGGAGAGAGATGGGGGAACTTTGTGCTGCCCAACAGAGGGATGCGCCGCTCCCGGTCACTGATCACAGAGCTGGGCTCAGCAGGCCAGTCATGGGGGCCAGAGAAACCTATCAACAGGACAGGAGCTGAGGAGGACTGCACAGTTACTAAGGAAACATTTCAGAGGGAGCTTTTCCTCACAGAGATCGACACAGGAAGGATGGACACGGATGTGGAGGGAGGATCAGAAAGTGACCCAGTAAAATACCTCTATCCTGCAGGATCCAGATTGCGGCCCTACGTCTGCGCTCCGGGCTTTCCTTCATACACTGAGGCAGAGGAGGCTTATTCAAAGGGTATACGGAGGTCGCGTTCTCTCCTCTCTGAGATCACCATCGGGAAGCAGGAGTCTGAAATACAGCAGACTGAGAAGGAGCCACGGAGAACAGAAATGACTAGGGAGGAGTTCCTGAAGGAGATCCAGTCAGCAGAGACCTTTTTGACTGAAATAATATCAAGACAAAACGCTGCAGCAAACAGGAAGGAAGCAGAGTCTGCTTATTCCCCTACTCCACTATCACCCGAGTATGAGTCCATATGCATTGACCCGAACTCCGCTCAGACCATCCGATTTCAGTCAGAGAGCTCCGTACGAGCATCCAGCAAAGGCAAAGATGATACACACACTGAGGCCATCTACGCCCAAGTGACCAAGCGTGCTAAAAAGAGTGAGATAAAGGTTTCCATGAGACCTGAGATCCCAATCCTTCACATAGGGTCAAACAAACAAAATCTGAAACTGGACAGCCAAGGAAACAATGCTGACCACTGCCAGTCTGGTGAGTTTGTGTTTTCAGAAATCATGCCCAAGAATGGTTTACTGCACAACCAAACACTTGCATGTCAGAAAGAGGACGAGGAGTACGTGGATGGTCCTGCCTTACCTGCCAGAGGAGAGCAAACAGATCTTTCAGAGGAATCTCCTATTGAATCTTCTGAGACTGTTAAAGAATCCAACACTGTGATACTGCGTGAGAACAAATCGCTTTTTACAAACGCAACAGATGCTAAAAAGGCTGCTGTTATAGGGAATGGTGAGATAATGAAAGAAGACCTACAGGCCACCAGTCCTGAGAAAGGAGATCACATATGTGGAAAGACTGATACCACGTCATATGAACCAGAGAAAGAAAAGAACCACATTGATAAAGTTTCTCCAGCGGACTCTGAAAACATCACAGCAGCTGATTCGGAGAAGTCTAAAAATTTGGGTTCTCAAAATGACAATGAAAGTTTTGCAGAGACGAAAAGAGAAAATTTACTTCAGCACAGTGACACTGGTCAAGAAAAATACTGTCACGTTGCCCAAAAGGCAGCCACTCCTGCCGCCACTCCAACCACTCCAGACTGGGACCCGTCCTCTGATGTCTCACTCGTCACCCCCACTGACTCGCTCCTGTCACCTTTGACTTCCAGCTCAGCCGACTGCCTCACACCTAGTGACTCATGGACAGGAGGAGGAGGAGGAGTGGGAAGCGGCGGGTGGCGAGCTCTGGGAAATGAAACACCACATCGGGACTCTGCCTATTTCTCAGACAGTGACTGGGAGGGGGACGGGATGAACAGGAGGAGCAGTGATGGACTTATTGCCTCTAGGCCGAGCAGCGTTCGAGGAGGGGATCGGGGAATACTGACAGGGATTGAAGAAAAAACTGAGGAAGAGGGAGAGCTGGGGGAAAAGAGCCCTTTAAAAAATAGTATACAGATGTTGGATAAAAAGATTGGAGAAATTGGAGAAACTGTCGTGATGTGTGAAGCGGAGGGTGTAACATATCAAAATGCTTCTGAAAATGACATCTCTCATTTAGGTGATGACAAAGATATTCTAAGCAAAGGGCTGGAGTCAACACAGAGAGACGATTCGGGCATCTTCCACAACGAAAGTAAAAAGTCAACACTGCTGAGCGATGATCCCCAGGCCAAAGACTGTGTTGACTTGATTGATAAGGTGTTCTCTGCATTAGATGATGAGCCACTGAAAGGGCTTCCACACAGCGGTGGATACTCGATAGACAACCACTACACAGATGGCATCATCTCTCAGATAACAGATTGCAGATACCAGGAGTCTGCAGATAATGACTTAAATCTACATTCCAAGAGCTTTGATGACGCAAATATTTTGATCAAGGCTGTATCTGACACTGAGTCAAAAGACTGTGTGCTAAAACCAAGCGTCACAGATTACACAAGTGTTAAAGAGACAGATATCAATCTCTCTGCACTGACTTCCCTCAAATGTGAAAATGACACTGTAGAAACAGTGGCACCATCCAAAGTTACCAACGGAGAGTCCAGATTATCGAAACTGTACGGCATTCAAACCAGTAATGCCACACTCGTAGATGAAACGCCGTCAGTAGTCGAGCCAGGTGATGATGGGCAGTCCGTCAATGATAAAGTGAGTGGTCTGACGGGTTCCTCTTGGGCTCAGGGGGGTGTTGAAGAGCCTGAGAGACATGAGGACAGGTCTGGTCTAGACCACAATGAGCTGGGCCTGAGAAACCTCTGCTGTTCAGACAGCAGTGAGGACAGTAAGATCACAACAGAGACAGAGAACCAGCTGGCTGCTGCAGAGATGAGTAACGCCATGAAGGAAAAGTCACCCCTGAGAGGAGCAGCAAGGGGGATGGACTCTGGTAACAATGTGGATAAAGACTCCTGCGAGGGGCTGGATGTGAAAACTAAAGAGTTATGGAGCGCTCTGGAGGAGGATGAAGAAAGACCAGGATCTGGTGTGGTTAGAGGAGAGTTTGACTGCCACCGTTTTTCACAATCAAGAGACTTGCGCTTGTGGCCTGATGAAAATGACCAGTGGGCCTCTCCAGAGAAGAGGTGCCAAGATATTGACCTCAGATCTGAATTTTTCTCTGGGTTCAGTAATAAGGCCTGGGAGGTGGGCGAGAGGCTTGTTGTGGGTCAGGAGTTTTGGGAGACTGAAGAAAATGATGAACTTGCTGCAAGTGAACCTCACCCTGCCGTCCTGGAGGGTTGTGAAGAAACATGGAACAATGAAACACAAGGACTAACTGCTAATCTCAGCATGAAGGAAAAGTGGGACAGTAAAGACACTGACAACCAACAGGCTGCTCAAGTGTCACACATACAACAGGAGGAAAACATTGAGAATCTAGAAGTTGAGTGTTTTAACAAAGACCGGAAAAGACAAATTACAGATATTGAAGTGGAGAATATAGAAATCCCAGAGCAGGAGACCTTGGATGAAGGAGAGAGGCAGATTTCATCATGCACTGAGACAGCCAGGGACGGGGAAGCTCGGCTAGACTCCACAGAGACAGAGGAGAATCAAAATTTTAACAGATGGCCTCAGAATCACCTCTGCAAGATCCAAAAGGAGGAGCAGACATCAGCTGAACATGGTGACAAAGAAATGGGCTCTGATTTAGAAAACTGCATCAGTCACACAAATGATGCAAATATATCCATTTGCATCACCGAAGCTCCTCATGTGAACTTTTCAGACCTGGAAAATGTCGAATCAGGCTTAGATTCAGAGGCTGAAAGGAGGCCGTGGCTTTCTGGGCAATACATAGAAGAAAGCATTAGCATTATGAACGTAGAGGAAGATTACAGAGACATGTCTCTTCCATCAAATCCAATCTCTTGTCCCAGTGACCTTGATATACAGGAGGAAATAGATCCACAGGTAGACAATTTCAGCTCAGTAGATTTTCCAAGTCCTCCACCGAGCATAGACCTTGATCTGCAAGATGATAAACTGGAGAGTTTAGACGACTCTTTTCCTAGTCCGCCGCTATCTGTTATTGAGGCAGAGGAGTCAAGTCACATTAATCTAGATGACTTTATTACTAGCCCTGAGACGGAGCTGTATATTTCCTCAGCTCACAACACAGATGTCTCAGAGCCTCCCCAGCAAGAATCGCCACCTGCTACAACTCAGAGTAAAGGAATCTCAGTCAATCTGAACCTCCCCTCTGTGCATATAACGCTGCATGATGAGAGCAACCTCACGTCCAACAGTGAAAGTCAGGATGAACATAGTAACCTGTCCCAGAAAACATCATCTGCCACCCCATCTTCACCCCAAGCTCCCCTCAACAGTCTCCCAGAATTATTGATTTCTGAGTGGAAAGATTTAGATGAGGAGCCCCTGGAGGATTTTGAAAAACTGGAGCAACTGTGCTGCATATCTGGAGATGAGGAGGACACTCTGGGTGAGCTTTTCTTGGGGAACCTAGACCTCCTGGAGTCTTTGAAGAAAACACCTGATCAGAGAGGTAGCAGCGCCGGTGAGGGTGATACCGGTAGGGAGGTATGTGGCTCCTGTACTCCTGAGGGGAGCAGGGTGGATGTGAAGGAGGACGGGATCTCTGATAACTCTGATAAACTAGGGGAGTCTGCACCACCCATGATCCTGGATTCCCAAGAAAGACTGTCACCTCAAGAGGAGAGGTATAATATACTGAGGTCATCAGGCCAAACATGTGATGTCAAAGACCAGGGATCTCTCTCGAAGATGACAACGAAGAATGGCCTCATGATGCAGGCGAGCAGTGTTTTCTTTTGGGTAAACAGTGCTTATTATGTTACCTTTCTGACTGTATTCACCCCTCTTTATTGTTTTGTTTTGTTGCTTCAGGTGTGTGAGGAGAGGCTGCAGTTCTCTCTCAGTGAAAATGTGAAAACAAATGTGCTTTGGGGAGCGACTGTTAAAGACTCCGTAATGCTCCGGCCCTGGGGGGAACAGATCACAGAGAGCAGTGAACTGGTCACTGTGAAAGAACAAAAAGAGGATGAGAGGTAAGAAGAAGGTTTAAGTTCTGAGATCTGATCTGACTAATGTCAGAGTTTATGTTTAAATGTATGGTTCATCCAAATGACAAAACCAAAACAAAACAAATATATAAATATACATATTTTCTTACTTACTTGCTGTAACTTATGGAGCCTTTGAGTCCTGAAAAATGATATTTTTGCATGTACAAGATGATACCTGTTGTGCACCAGATGAAAGACAAAACATCTATAGAGCTTTAGATATTAAACATAAACACAAAAAAAACATCTGCAGAACAAACTGCAAGTTTGCAAGTTTTGATGGGGACTGCTTTGTTCTGTAGAGAGACGTTGATGTCTGTTTATTATCTAGAGTAAAACGTAGACTGTTTCTGGAAAGACAAGACATTTTTGTATTTTTAATGTTATTTTTTGAAAATGAATTTCCGTTCACTTCCCTCGTAAAACAGTTTGTTTATTTTTTTTGTATTTTTGGTGAACTGACCTTTTAATGTTCAAGTTTTAACAAATGAATCTTTGCTTCTTTTGCTGCTGCAGCCTAGAGGATCAGGAACTTGTCCCCAGCATTCAGCCCCACATCGAGACTGATGAAACTAAAGCTGAGCCGCTCACTGTGATTGAACAACCTGAGGTTACACCTCAGCCCACTGCAAACCAGGCCATGAAAGGTACCTTCATACTGCATGTATTGATAATATTGCTTTTTATTATATATGGAGAAGTCATATGTCTGATGGATGAACATCTATAGTACATCTCAGTTGTTTTTTTTTAAGAGTAGTAGAAAGTAAAGTCAATTATTCCTCCTCAAGCTTTTTTTGGTTTTTAATTGTGTCAAAGTTTGTTTCTCCATTGATTTGGGCTTCTTCTTATGATAACCTGAGCTCATTCTTTGTCCCAGCCAGAGCCAGTAATTTCCGCAATGCCTAACTACAACCTAAGATTAAGCTAAATTAAGGTCTTACCCCAGTCATGGATGGCATCATTGTGGGATACTCTATTTAAGGGGGAAACAGACTTGAACAAAAAAGGTTTTAATAATAGAGAAACAAGAACACTATTTTCATTGAGTTTTTAAAATACAGGACACAGAACAAATTAAAACAATGCAAACAAAGAAAAATTATTTTGGAAAAACTCAAATAAATACATGCATAATTAAGTAAATATCCTCAATCCAAATAGAAACAGAAATAGAAAGAGAGTTAAAAAATAGTGGATGTCAGTTACACCTTTTGCCTAGGAAACAAATTAATAAAGGTAATAGTGATAATACTTGTTATTGATGAAACATGACCGTATTTTACTGAATTTACTTTGTACCTTAGAATGAAAACTGAATGTTTTCTAATTCAAAATAAGTATTTACCAATCTAATTTGTAGGACTGATGCTTACCTCCAGTTAGGTGAGATTTAGGACTGTTGTCAGGTTTTCCTCATGTTTAACATCTCTTCCCTTCTCTCATTTTCGCAGCAAAACTAGCTCGTCTGTCCCTCGCCCTCCCTCCTCTTGCTCTGACTCTCCCCCTCACCCCCACCGGGAAAGGAGGATTTGGGGATGGTGCGATCGGAAATCGGATTGGAAGGCGGCGAGGCCTGTCATCAGGGAGCGACCCTGACGATGAGGAGGAGGATGAGCAGGAGGACGAAAGCTTCCGGAGGGTGATTGTTGTCACAGAAACAGACGTGGACAAACGTGTCGGGCTGAGGAGTCTGCTGAAGTCTCCCAAGGAACCGATGGACAGAGAAAGGGACAGAGGACGAAACGTGTCCTTTTTTGATGATGTCACAATATATCTTTTTGATCAGGTATGTCTCATATGTTTCCTACATAACTAACAGATCATATTAGATTTTATAAAAGAGGGCCTGACTTTTTTTGTTTCATCGTAACAGGAAACTCCAACAAATGAGTTGAGCAATTCAGCACCCACTAGTCCAGCCTCAGTGTCTGTCAAAAGCACCAAGTTGGATTTGCATGGTAAGTTCGTAAAGATCTCATGTTTATGATCACATGCAGAATGATGAGGTGACAGGACCGGCAATTCGTTACTTTGGTCCAGACTGAAAGATCTCAACAACTACGGATTTCCATAAAATTTTGTACAGACATCCACAGTCCCCAGAAGATGAATCCTACCCACTTTGGTGATCTCCTGACTTTTCCTCTACCACCATTATCAGGCCAAAATTTCATTTTGTCAAACACTTTGGTTTATGACCAAATACCTGCATTAATGAGACTGCCATCAGCCTCAGCTATACTTGGTGTTCAGAGGTAATTACCCCATGGTAGCATGCTAACATGCTAAACTAAGATGTGAATATAGTAAACATTGTATCTGCTAAACATCAGCATGTTAACATTGTCACTGTGAGCATGTGAGCATTTAGCTTAAAGCTCTGCTGTGCTTGAGTGCAGCATCACAGAGCCACTTGCATGGCTGTAGATTCTTAGTCTTGTTAGACTGTAAAGATAATGCACATTAGTCTGAAATATGTTTCCTTCTATACATGTATTATCAGTCAGTCTCCACCTTGAGCTGCAGAGTGACGTAATAAAATCTGACAGCCTCTAACTCATCCCAATTCACTGAAATGGAAAACCCTCAGTTCAACCATCTCTCCAAATATGCAGCCAGAATTAATCTTCTATAATTATCCCCCTCGACTCTGTGACATGTGGCACTGAGCAGGGACATAAATCCTATGATCAACAATGCAAGCCTAAGCTGTGTTTCCCAACACATTTTCATTTGCTCTCTTGACTTCCACTCTCCATCTCATTTCACAGTATAATGAGAGTTTGGACTCAGTATATCCTTTGGGCTCTGCACATACAGTAATGTAGAAACGCCAAAATTAGATGCTTTCATGATCTTTCGTAGCCTTAAGAGTTGAGACTTCAAAGTCTCAAAAGAAGAGGCTGTGTTCCCTTTGAAAAATTGTTATTTTTAACTGAAAACCATCTTTCTTTGCTTCAGCTCGATTATATTAATAGATATAGATTATTGGTTTATTTTCTGCCCTGTATTTGGTTTGGCACTAATGTCTTATTGTTTGTCCCTGTCATGGATTGATTATGAGACAATGGGCCCCTGAGCACAGACATGTAAAAGGCCCCCCACCCAACATACATAGTAGTACAACTCAGACTGTCAGAGACACAAAACAACATTGTTTGTAGCTTTTGCAATCGAACCAGAATTCTCAGGTTGGTTTAAAAACTGCAGACGAGCTTCAGTTTTTACTGGAGATTTGATTATGATTTAAATTGCTTTACTAATGATATTGTATTTAATGAAAGCTTTGTGACTTTCCAACAAGAATGTTAAAAGAAAACCAATTTAGCTTGTATAAAATTATTGTTGTGGTTGATGGACAGTTGGAAAAAAAAAGATAAAAATTGATTCAGCAGCAGAACCAAATATATTGTCTTTTTTGTCCCATGCATTGTTTTGCCTTCATTACCCACAATTCAATGCAACTGCCGACAGTTCGTCAGAGATTCAGGTGTGTTATGTTAGTAGTGGTTAATGTAACCTCAAGCAGAGATGAAGAGGCTTCAGAGGTCCGGTAACATCACTTTTTTTCTAACTGACACCCACAGATTTTTTTCATTTTCAAACTTGTAGTCTTCAGACCCAATGGACGCTGACTCAAGTGACATCACTTGAGGCAGTTTATCAGACTTAACAGACCTGCCTCTGGAGCCACAAAAAGTGGAGTTTCCTTTTAACTGTCTCTTGCCCATGGGCCCCTTGACCCTTTGGGCCCCTAGGCCTGTGCCCAGTAGGCCCGTTAAGTAATCAACTCCATGGTCGCAGTGATGAGGCAGTTGTGGAAGTGTTTGATTTTGTTTTTCTCTCCATCAGGGCCGAACATCAAAAGCAAAGAATCAAAAAGGAAAGAGGATTTATCAATCAAACCGAGGTCGCCTGTGGGTGCCAATCCAGTGATGTCATCACGCTTCACTGTCAGCCCTGCTGACGACCCCCACCTGGTGTGACGTTACGTGTCATCATGGGAACCTTTAGAGCTGAACCCTCTTGGACTAGTCAGTGAATTAACCCCGACAACCAGCCATTGACCCAAAGGCTATTTTTTTATTGAATAGGCAACTGAAAGAATGAGACTCCCGTTCTAAAAGCTGGACACATTCCAGGTTTTACCAGCGACAGGATTTTGTATGACAGGAGCTGTTGTGCTCCTGCCTGCCATTGTTTACAGAGTTTATTCATAGCCTTCGGCTACAAGAAGTCTTTGGAAAAGGCAGCATATGCTAGGAGAAGACGAGCCTGGAGCTTTGTAAAATCTGAAACAGATTTGACAGCTATGCAGTGGGAGTCTTGCTGTGTACCAGCTTACCTTCTCTTTTTCTGCTTCATTCTGTTGTATTATTCCCCAGATGTGCGGGGAATGCACTTTCTTTAGTCATTCATCTGTCTATGTAAATGCTTGGATTCCAGTCCTCTCTTTATTAAAGAAGTTGTCCATTGCAGTCAGTTGTTCTTGTAGGCAGCAGTTTGGAACAGAAATTGCTTGACTCCTGTATTTGAGAATACTCATTTACATTTGTACAAATATCATAATACAAGTGTATACAATATCATTTTAGAGCTGTTTACTTTTAGATGTATTCTTAGACTGCACGGAAAATGAAACAAGCTATGTTTCTTAATACTTTTAGTTCTATAAAGCTTTCTCTCACATTATTTATTATATTTATTTATTTATTTTTATTCATTTATGTAAAGCCAGTTTCCATGCAATATTTTATTTATTTTTATTATTTATTTATTTGTTTAATTATTTTTAATCAATTTATTTATCTGCTTTTGTGCAATTAACATATATAAACTTAGGTATAATTTGTTTGGGACAGAATGCATCTAGGTTATATCTTATCTAAGATCTTCATAACAAATAAATCAAAATATTTTCCCAAACGTCTTAATTGCTAAAAAAGTATTTTGTATAATTTTACTTGTTAATATATGCCAATCTGTATGGAACTATGTCCTGTAATGTTTCATTATTTTCCAATGTCTATGAATTTTTAGCTGTCTTGTCATTCTTTTACCTTGTTTAATGACAGTTAATGTAGCTTAGCATGAAAAATCGAAGCCTTTCATCAGTAAATAACTCCATTTGTTTGTGTATCTGTTAATTTATGCCATTTTCTACTAATAACAGTCCATCATGCAGTCGAGGTCCAACTAGTCCATTTGTTTAGTCTGTTTAAATGTTGGTTTAAAACCTGTATTGTTTAAAGAATGGTTTTCAAGGGATAATGTATAAAACAAGGGGAAATAAAAACTACAAAATGTGAACCTCTTATTGAACTGTTTCATGACAATAAATCGTATTGTTTTGTAATCGTAAAGTGCTGTATTTATGACCAGGGGTGGAGCCAGACATAGTAAACATTCGGGGGTTAGCCCCAACTTCAGTCTATATTCCCCCTGTGGAATTTTTTCCACAGTCACAGCTGCTACATGTACTATTTACTGTATCAAGTCATTTGTAAATCATTTGGTGAAAACGTGATAGTTGCCCAGGAAAAAAAATCCTCCAGAGCCTGTGTCATATTTTGAATCTAACTGTTCTCTTTCTCCATCATTCTGAAACCACAACACAACAAATTTTGACAATAACTAATTTTCACTACTGCCATGTACAAAGAGGCACAACCTGTTTGGTGTTACTATTTTGAATTTACATGACATAGGTGGGGAATGAATTTGGCATAAACAGCATCACTAATCTGTTACACTATGCCAGAGTACAATTCACAGATTTAATGTTTAGATGACAAATCTTCTTTTAAATCCAGACCATAATAATATGTGCTGCTCTAACTAAGCAGACATGGACCCACAACAAGGCCAAGTAAATGTCTTCACTTCTCTGAACTGAATATTAGGGCAAACGAAGGACATTTACTCAATTAAATTTCTTGAAAGAATATCATCATAGGACAAACAAAATGAACATGTACTGTAATATTATCATACAGTGTTTTATTTGATCTATCTACCCCTGATTACTCTGTTCTCCTTTCCATCTCTTTTCTTCTTCTTTCACTCTCTCAGCTCCACTCATCTATCCCTGGAAATTTCGTCCATTCAAAGAAAATATAAAACAAAGAGTTTTAATATTTCTGATCATAAGCTGAAGATGTAAAAATATCAAATGCATATCTTATTCTCTTACATCTGTGCCACCTCTGCTCTCCTTTCCTCCTCTTTTCTTCAATTCTGTCTTGTCAACACATTTTCATCTCTTATGGTTGGATGATGAAGATACATTGCAAATAGGCCATATTTCATACCCATCCAACATGTAAAGAGACAACTGGTGTCATCTGTTTTGCTACTGAGATAACTGTAATCATTCAATCTGTGAATCCCCCGGGTATCCGGGGGCTTTTCGTTTGTGCAGCGTTTTGACTCCATTTCCCAGAAAGCCGTGCGAAAGTTGTTAGGTATTTAGTCTGCGACAAACTGTACGACACAACAGTACATACACAGACTGAGGAGGAAGAAGTCTGTATAACGAGCCGGCCAACATTTGAACAGAAGACACTTAAACTCTCATAAGATATCTTTTGTTTTGTTCCTGTAGTCGACCCTCGAGGTAAGTTAACTTACTTAGAAAGCGCTTTACCAACGTCCAGCCAACGTTTGCTAACGCTAACTAGCTAACATAAGCCAGTGCTTCCAACGTCACAGACACTGTATTTGACAATTAAGTGTGCGGTTTTCGTTTTTTTCATGATGTATCATCTGTTACATTTGTTAAAGTCGTTTAAGAGGCTTAAAAGGGCCATAATATTTTGAAGTTATTAGTGTTAACTCCAGCTATTTAAAAAAAAACTCCCATTTGCATGCACATGAATTAAGCCAGAGAAAAGGTGTCCAAGGCTCCAACTAACTAAATGAGTAACACTCCCATTAATAGTTGATTATTTTTGCTTGTTCATTGAATAATATTTATGTGGTGAGATTACAAAAATGAAACGTAGCCTTCTCAAATAGCAAGAGCACAGAGCGACGTCTTAAAGTTGCTTCTTTATAAAAAAAATAAAAAAAAATTATACTGAATTGAAGTAGAGAAAAGTGGGCAGGTGTTTGGAGTTGTGAAGGTGCTACAAGTAAACCTTTTTTTTGTTTCGTCAGTGTGTACTTGTGACCCTCACATCGTAGGTTATGGCGTTAGTTGTGAGCAGTGCAAACTGCAAACAAAAATAATATCGATTGTTTCATTTAAACGATTTTAGAGGCTCAAAGAGATGAAAGTACCAAGTATCACATAAAAGTAATAAAAATTTGATAAAATATAAGTTAAATGTTTTTTCTGACTTTTGCCTTTTGATAATCTTTATATCCATATAACCAAACCTCCTGATCAACCAATGCTGTTAATGTTTTATATTTGATAAAAGGCTAAAATTATGATAAAAATATTAATCATTTTCTACTTCTTTTGCTCAAAGAATTGCTGCTTTCACTGTTGGTGGAGGTAACTCTGAGTGCTGAAGCTTCGTGACAAAATTACATAGAACAATATTTTGGACTAAGCACATTATGAATAATGTGGAATGACAGTGCTTTGATGCTTTTATGTAACTTTGTGATCTGTAACAGCAGATTAGTAATGTGGACAGGACAATGTCTTTTTTTGTCACTGTGCTATGTTCAGAAATGTTAGATGTGCAGTTTTGTTAGTTGATCTTATATTAGTTCAGTCACTTTCTGGTGCTGATGGCAGATGTCTCTGGCGGACGAGCTCCTGGCTGACCTGGAGGAGGCTGGAGATGAGGGGGAGGATGGTCTGTATCCAGAGGGAGAGGAGGGGGAGAGTGATGGAGAGGCGACTGAGGGAAGGACAGAGGGAGGGCTGGAAGACATCCCAGAAGAGATGGAGGTGGACTACAGTAAAGCTGAGAGTGTTACGTCCATTGCCAAGCTTCGCAATAGCAAACAAGTGAGTTCTCCCCTATAAAGGCTTTACACAAGTTGATATTGGCAATAATATGCCAGGTCTGGGCATCCCGGTATAACTATGCTGTGTGTTCAGTTTTCAGAAATCATTGACAAAATTTCAGATTATATTGGAAAGCAGCGCAAGAACTCAGAGGGTGAGTGTAACCCATTACCTCTTCAGTAGCACTTTGTCATTCCTTTATTATATAATTACATGTTTTACATTGTAAAGTTGACAATTTGTGTTATGTTTTACAAGTTCTTCACTTAATTCAAGTTTTATGTTTGTGCATGTGATTTTTTTTTAAAAAAAATTTATGTGATGATTTTTCTGTTTCCTTTTAGTCTCAGGTCCAGTTGAAGCTGACCCAGAATACAGACTGATTGTAGCCGCCAATAACCTCACAGTAGAGATCGACAATGAGCTCAGTGAGTTTGCTGTTCCTGCTTGGTAATACATTTAAAGAGTTAAGGATTTCGTTCTGTTCTGTATAACTTGTCTTTCCGCCTTATTTTCAGATATCATCCACAAGTTTACAAGGGATAAATATTCAAAGAGGTTTCCAGAGCTCGAGTCGCTGGTGCCAGATTCTTTAGATTACATTCGCACAGTCAAGGTGAGACGTGTTATTCAGCTTGTACATGAAAACCCCATTTCAGAATGAGAATAAGAAGCCTATCAGTACTGCTGACAGTGTGTGGGAATTCAACCATTTTTTTCCTACAATAGTTTCAAATATAAAGGCCCACACCTGCTACACCCTCAGAAGATCATTTATGCAAAGACCATCTTCGTTTTTCTTTTCTTTGGGTAGAACAGGTTGAAAATGTTGTCCCTGTTATCCAGCATCATGTATTCTCGGTTTTGTGTTTCTTAATAAGGAACTGGGGAACAATCTGGAGAAATGCAAGAACAATGAAACTCTTCAGCAAATCCTCACCAACGCCACTATTATGGTTGTCAGCGTCACAGCCTCAACCACACAGGGGTGAGTCCTATGCCACGTTACTCCATGTTCAATTAATTCAGCTTCAACATCCTCACTGTCAGAGCGGAGGGACACAGTTGCTGCTTGGCAATACTTTTGATGATTATATAACTCTCTTGACAGTTGCAAAGTGTGCACTGAAAGTTTATTTTGTGTGTATTTTCATGGTTGTAGGTCACTGCTAAGTGAGGATGAACTGAAGCAATTGGAGGAGGCATGTGACATGGCCCTGGAGCTAAACCAGTCTAAACACAGGATATATGAATATGTAGAGTCCAGAATGTCATTCATTGCCCCAAATCTGTCCATCATTGTTGGAGCGTCAACAGCTGCAAAGATCATGGGTGAGAGATGCCAAAAGATTCACTTTTAATACACTTCCTGCAGCATTGCACACTGAGGTTACAACTGTAGATGGTGTTCACAATTAAAGATATTTCTGTTATCACTGTCAATCTGTTCTTATTTCCATGCCCTCTTCCTCTCTCTGGTTTCTCTTCTCTCTTCAGGTATTGCTGGGGGCCTCACCAATCTCTCAAAGATGCCGGCATGTAACTTAATGCTGCTGGGAGCTCAGAGGAGAACCCTGTCTGGCTTCAGCAGCACGTCACTGCTTCCCCACACTGGCTTCATCTACCACTGTGATGTTGTGCAGACACTACCACCTGTGAGCTATATATGTACATAAAAAACATACAGTAGATACCCCTGCATTGCAGTGTTTCTCTTAGCTAACAGCTTTCTGCCATTTTTGTCTTCAGGACCTCAGGAGGAAAGCAGCTCG